TTCTCAACTGTACCTGCCACATTTCAAGTGCTCAATAGCTACATATGGCTAATAACTACTACACTGGACAGCACAGATAGAAATGTTTCCATCACCGCAGAAATTCCATTAGCCAGCGCTGGCCAGGGACTGCTACGAATCAGCTCAACTCATTGCCTGTGTGAAGTCTCCTCAAATAGCCTTTCTTTTTGTGAAATGATGGTGTGATGTATAATCTTTTTAATGAAAACATTAAACCTTTACATAAGACAAGAAAAAACCTCAGAAAAAGTACATTCCCTCTGTTGAAACAATTCTTAGAAAAAATTTACCATATTGCCATCGTTTTTCACATTTTACCAAGGCCGGGTGACAAACTTATTGTTACTTAATAAAAGCAGAAGGGAGCAGCACCTGTGGCTCAGTGGGTAGGGTACTGGCCCCATATACTGAGGGTGGTGGGTTCAAACCTGGCTCCGGCCAGGCAGGCGCCTGTAGTCCCAGCTACTCAGGAGGCTGAGGCAAGAGAATCGCCTAAGCCCAGGAATTGGAAGTTGCTGTAAGCTTGTGATGCTATGGCACTCTACTGAGAGCAACAAAGACTCTGTCTCTACCAATAAATAAATAAATAAATAAAAGCTAGAGGCTCAAAAATCAATATGCAGAATAGAATTTACAATAAGTTTTCCTAAAATAAATAAAAGCAGGAGGCTACGAATTAGTATTTAGGAACCACTATCCTATCACCTCAAAGGGATTCTTTAGTTTTTGGTCCAAAAGCTACCAAGAAAAACCAAGCACAAGGTAGTAGCAATGTTGAAGAAATGAACTAATCCTGTGAGTTAGGTCTGACTACAAAAGCACCGAGATCCACATTCCATTTAAAAAATTAACTGAAGTGGGCAGGATACCCGTGGCTCAGTGGGTAGGGCGCCAGTTACATACACCTGGGCTGGCAGGTTCAAACCTGGCCCAGGGCCTGCTAAACAACAATAACTACAAAAAAATAGCTGGGCGTTGGGGGCAGGCACCTGTAGTCCCAGCTACATGGGAGGCTGAGGCAAGAGAATCACTTAAGCCCAAGAGTCTGAGGTTGCTGTAAGCTGTGACGCCACAGCACTCTACCAAGGGCAAGACAGTGAGACTCTGTCTCAAAAAAAAAAAAAAAAAAAAAGAAAAAATTAGCTGAAGTAGGCCGAGCATGGTGGTTCATACCTGCCAATCCCAGCATTCTAGGAGGCCCAGGATGGTGGGTTGATTGAGCTTAGGAGTTTGAGAGCAGCCTGAGCAAGAGCAAGACCTAAAAAAATAGCCAAGCATTGTGGTGGGTGCCAACAGTCCAAGCTACCAGGGAGGCTGAGGCAAGAGAACTGATTTGAGCCCAAGAGTGTGAGGTTAGTGTGAGCTATGACACCATGGCACTCTACCCAGGGTGATAAAATGAGACTCTGTTTCAAAAAAAAGACAAAAACAAAAAAAATTAGCTAAAGTTCTCCAAGGTGAAGAAAAATAGTGACATATCACAACTGCTTAGTCTTTCAATTCTCAGAAAGACCCTGATCCACTCTTGTGACTTCTCTTTGCTTCCAGGATGCCCCATCAGGGTGAGGGCCATGTTTTCAAACACTCATCATAAAGTTTGCTCTTGCACAGGGTAACAGAGAATGCTGCAGTGGCCTATAAGCAAGTGCCACACATACCCGGAGTGCAGTGTCCCTCACGCTTGCACATGGGGACTGTAAGGCACAGAGCAGCACGTCTACCTCCTCTTGCTCTGCGAAGGCACAGCCATTCTCACCACTGCTGCTGGCACACAGGGTCGTCAGGGCATCTGAAGCCAGAACCTAAGGAGGACATGGACCCACTTGGTTCAGTTCAGCAAATCATTTACTACAGGGTGAGGGAATGGGCTAAGGGGCCCAAAGACGGTTTTAAACTGGGAACACCAACCCCCGTAACACTACTAGGCCTAAGACCTCAACTCCAGGCCAGAGACAGTGGCAGGACCCAAGCAAAACCCCTCACTAGCTGAGTATAGTTGGGCTGTGTCTCTAAAGCCAAAGTCCAAAAGTGAGGGCTGCGAGCGAGCTAGAACTCAACCCCTCATATGAGAACCAGGGTCATGGTCACAAAATGACTCACAGCAATAACTAGCTGAAAACCAAGTCACCTGTAAACGGGGTGAGCCTATCCCGATCACCCAAGTTAGAAGACGCAGCATGGCCACCCGAGGCAGCAACTCCGGGCCATTCTAGGAGAGAACAGCAGGTAGGTAGGTTGGGGGGAGGGGGCTGCAGGGAAGGTCTGTACACAAGCCTGGTGGCCAATGTAGTGGCATCTGCTCACCTACAAGGAAACACTCTGGGTCATACAACAACTCCACTGTAGCAATTTCATCAGGTTTACAGCTAAGTCCACAGGCACTAACCCCAAGTAACCCTGATCCTCAGAAACTAGAAATAAATTCTGAGACTTGCTTGAAATTCAGAGACAATGAAATCTAGGTGGACCATAAACATACAAAGAGACATTCAACATTACAAGTACATGCAGAAACACAAAATAAAATAAGACATCATTCTTTCACCCATCACTGGCAACATTAATACTCTTAGGTGGAATTAAATTTTTAGAAAAATAAATTGTTAGTGAGAGTGAAGTACAGAATATGCCACATAACCTAGCAAGTCCATGTCCAATATCTACCCTAAGGAAATGCTCACAGAGCTGTGAGAGGGGCATATGTAGACAAGAGGGAACCTAACAGTGTTATTCAAAAGAGATGAAAGTTAGAATACTTTTTTTTTTTTTTTTTTTGAGACAAGAGTCTCAAGCTGTTACCCTTGGTAGACTGCTATGGCATCACAGCTCACAGCAACTTCCAACTCTTGGGCTTAAGCAATTCTCTTGCCTTAGCCTCCCAAATGGCTGGGACTACAGGTACCTGCTACAATGCCCAGCTATGTTTTGGTTGTAGTTGTCACTGTTTGGCAGGCCAGGCTGGATTAGAACCCGGACAGCTCCGATGTACGTGGCTGGTGCCCTAGCTGCTGAGCTATAGGCGCCAGGCCAAGTTAGAATACTTTTAGGATACTTTAAGAGACTTAAAATACCCATCAAAAGGTAAAGAGTTGGCTGGGTGCGGTGGCTCAGACCTGTAATCCTAGCACTCTGGAAGGCCAAGGAGGGTAGATTGCCTGAGCTCACAAGTTCGAGACCAGCTTAAGCAAGAGAGAGACCCCCACCTCTAAAAATAGCTGAGGGCAGCGTCTGTGGCTCAGTGAATAGGGCACCGGCCCCATATACCAAGGGTGGCGGGTTCAAACCCAGCCCTGGACAAACTGCAACAAAAAATAGCTGGGTGTTGTGGCAAGTGCCTGTAGTCCCAGCTACTCGGGAGGCTGAGGCAAGAGAATCACCTAAGCCCAGGAAGTTTGAGGTTGCTGTGAGCTATGATGTCACCACACTCTCCTGAGGGTGACAAAGACAGACTCTGTCTCTAAAAATAATAATAATAATAAAATAGGCTTGGCACCTGTAGCTCAGGTGGCTAAGGTGCCAACCACATACACCTAAGGAGGCGGGTTCAAATCCAGACCC